AAAGATCACAGGCCAGTGGGTGGAACGTCTTGTGGATCTAGTGGGAGTAAAAGCATCTCACCTCTGTCATGGGTCTCCACATGGCTACTCCAGCTCCAGGGATCTGGCTCTATCAGTGTAGCACCATGTGGCTTGTCAACAGGAATAGGAAGCAGAAAGTCTGTCCTGCCTCCAGGGAGGAAGGTCCTAGAATCCTCAGGAGAAGGTCATGCCCACACAGAGGTCTCATTGACTATGACCTGATTGACAGGCTACGCTCCACCCCTCCACTCAAGTTGACAGGAGATTCTGTACCCGCCACAGGCAATTCCAGATGAACTTTTAGATGTATGAGCACTTGTTATTACATTGTCATCCTTTTGTCAAGACCTCTGGAGACAAGTTCAAGAGTTCATATTTCATCAGCATAAATATAAAATACCCAATAACATACTGTTGTATAACTATTTTTCATGCTAAGTCAGTCCTCTTTCCACAAGCAATCGATTATAATTTTGTATTTCATGTGTTTCCTAAAGACCAAACTGAGCTAATGCCCAGAAACAGGTAACAACGTTTTAGTAAGTAAAAGAAAATATATAAGGTCAGGTTTGTATTCCTAATGTTAATTTAAAATATTTATTTGCTTTATTGTCTTTAAGAAAAAAATGTTCAATTTGCTAATTTTGGAAGAGTCAATATTTTCAGATTTACTAGAAAGACACTAAGCTTCGCTGATTTAACAAACAATTATCCATGACTGTAAAGAAGATTCTGATTAGTGAACGTAGTCCACATTAGTACTAGCTCACCTACGGTCAGATCTTATCCTTCCTATATGTAGAACAATGCTCACCGAAGACAAGCCAACTGTCACATTCCTCCCCTACTGGATCGTGAGATATGTCATTCCCCAGCATGCATTCACTGTTTTTGGAAAATTTTAAATAAGACCTTTAATAAGTGGAGATATAAACAATATTTTTGGAATGGAAGACTCATTGTCAATTCTCCCTAAAGTGTCTGATAGGACAATGCAATCATGATTAGAACCCCAGGAAGCTCTTTTTTTTTAAGAGTAATTCAGATGGCCAAAATTATACAGAAATGTGAGAATATACGTGAACACTGATCTCATAGTTAATAAAACATTTAAAACATTGATGAACCTGAAGCAGAAAGCAACTGAGAATGTTAAAAAGCATTATGAGGTACTCAAAATGAGGTACTACAAGGTTATCATCCATGGGGGACCATGCATCATAAATTCTGTAGAAGTAATTCAACATGTAGTGAATTAAAAAACTATTTAATCCTCTTCTAAAGGACCTCTGATTGAGCTATTTTGTTGTCATTGTTGATCGTACTGTAGGAGTCTTAGTAATATGTTTTCTCCATGCCTTCCAGGGAAACATTTTTTTAAAAATTAATCATTTTATTGGGGGCTCATACAGCCCTTATCACAATCCATCCATCCATCCATGTGTCAAGCACATTGTACATTTGTTGCCATCATCATTCTCAAAAC